CTCCTGGGTATAGTTTTAGACCCTGGCTGTTGATGACAGCTAGTGGTTTCAGCTCTAAACAGACAGGACCCATGAGAGCTGCTGAGTCATTGTTCCTTCTTTAAAATGGTGCTCGGATAAATAGCCACTGTTCCACCACTGCTTCTGGTGTTTAAAAACAAAATTCAGAACACAAGTAGTACTCAATTGCAAAGTCTTTTATTTTATTTTTTTTGCTCACATTTTAATCTTGCTTAGAGGAAAAAATGGTTAAGTTCCCTGTCATTTTTTCTACTCTGTCAGGAACATTTTCAGAGACAAAACAGAAAGTAAGAGGATTGGTGTTATAACCCTTCTGGCGTGTTTTACACTTTAAAGAGAACCTGTGCTTTGTCAATTTACTCTTCCCTTACTGCCAATGTTACATTTTATTTGCACAATTGAACAAAGTATGAATACATTTCTACTTGATTTTGGGATAGCTTGTTCTGTTGCTTTGATTATTTCCAATTTTTTCTATTAGTAAAACCTTGGTTACTAGTAGATTATTTCTCTGGTTTCTGCTTGTTCTTTTTTGATTCTGCAGCATACATGGTTATGTATGAAGAATCTATCTATACTACATTTTGCAAGTTTTTGTAACTACTGATTTTAGTTCTGTTCTCTTTGCAGCAGGACAACATAAAGAAAATAGAATCTTTGGGCCTTTGTCTCTATATTGCTGCAGTCAATGCTGACGAAATGACTTTCACTTTTACAGAACTCGTAAAGGCTGTAGATATAAGGTAATTCTTTTTTTATAATAAACATATGATTCAAGAAGAGTCTGGCTACTTCTGACGCTTTTTCCATACTGTAAAATAAGTAAAAAGTCTGAGAGTAAAATAATGGGAATTCAGGAAGCAAAAAGTGCCATTCACTTTTATTTAGAGCATTATGACCTTGTTGCAAGTACGTGATTTTCTTGATAGTTAACCTGTTACAAGTTGTGAGTATCCGTTAGCTTTACTGTACTTAAACCTAACCTATGTTTATGTTTTTGAAAAGCAAACTGATTCATGGAGTTTGTTTTGACTCCAAGTGACCAGTCTCCTGTTTTACTGTCCTAAGAAGATTGAGCTGTACCCTTAATTTGGTGTGAAGATGGTGGAATCCCTTCAACAGCCTTATAAGCCTTTCTAAGTTTAGGCCAACGGCAGACCAGTGCACCTGCCTGCTTGGTTCCAGAAAGGTCCATATAAATAATACACCATTTTACCAAATTAAGTGAAAGAAAGTTATTCTAAGCAATTAAAAATAGGATTGTGAGCCATGTACCTTGAAAACACAGAACTTAAAGAATATGTCTATTTTGTATGAATTTGGACAAACCCAAAGCAGGGAAGATGTAGCATTTTAATACCTTTAAGGTCGGAAGATAGGTGGTTAAAACACATAAGTGTCAATGGGAAATGCCATAACCAGGTATTCAATCGCAGTTATTTGCCAGTGGAATACAAAGGAGATTTCAGTATGTTGCATTCTGACTGGAGATAGTTAATGCCTGGTATATCGCTAAATTAAAATGGCCATAGATTGAAAAAAAAATCTGATTCCCCATTCACGCTATAGAGCGCAGTTGGATGAATCTGCTGGTGGTTGTCCGAATAAATGATCAGCAGCTACTTCTGCTGAGTGCAGCCACTGTTCGGCTGGCAATTTTTTTCCCTTGGTGTCCTTTTTCAATTGAAGGGTGCCCACAGGGCTCTCATGAAGTGAATTTCACTCTCTCTATGTGTAAGGAAATATATCTGTAAACTGGCATCCATTTTGTATAATGCCTCCATTTCAGATATGTAACATCTTTAGTTTTGTTTCTCAGGAATTGCTTTAGTTTCTCTGGAAACGGATTCACCTTATATGGTGCCTCTCTGCTATTGCAGTTTCTGCTTCTCACGTAACTATACTGATAAGAGTGTAATATTGCATTGGTAACGGATTCACCTTATATGGTGCCCCTCTGCTATTGCAGTTTCTGCTTCTCACGTAACTATACTGATAAGAGTGTAATATTGCATTGGTAACGGATTCACCTTATATGGTGCCTCTCTGCTATTGCAGTTTCTGCTTCTCACGTAACTATACTGATAAGAGTGTAATATTGCATTGGTAACGGATTCACCTTATATGGTGCCTCTCTGCTATTGCAGTTTCTGCTTCTCATGTAACTATACTGATAAGAGTGTAATATTGCATTGGTAACGGATTCACCTTATATGGTGCCCCTCTGCTATTGCAGTTTCTGCTTCTCACATAACTATACTGATAAGAGTGTAATATTGCATTGGTAACGGATTCACCTTATATGGTGCCCCTCTGCTATTGCAGTTTCTGCTTCTCACGTAACTATACTGATAAGAGTGTAATATTGCATTGGTAACGGATTCACCTTATATGGTGCCCCTCTGCTATTGCAGTTTCTGCTTCTCACGTAACTATACTGATAAGAGTGGAATATTGCATTGGTAACGGATTCACCTTATATGGTGCCTCTCTGCTATTGCAGTTTCTGCTTCTCACGTAACTATACTGATAAGAGTGTAATATTGCATTGGTTATCCTGACTTAGAAACACCTGTTGAGTTTCTGTATATCATCTCTTGTTTTGTATTAAACTTTTAGAAATACTGCTTTTACACTTCTGTGTGGAGAGCTTTATTCTCCCAAATCCGGTGGTAAGAGATAAACAAGGACAGGTTGCGCTATAGACAGACAGAAATTGATTCTATCAGTACAACTAGCCTAAGGCCTGTGAAACAAGAGACATCCTTGAGGGGGAAAAAGGGAAATTATAGATGAGTTTCAAAAATTCAGCAGATCATCAGCATACAGGGAGAGCATAATAAGGTATAAAGTAAACCTGTGATCAGTCCTATGAACATTTAACTATTTACGGTATATGTTCTTAACAAGCAGGAGCTCTAAAGTGTATCTATGGTTAAAATGTTAAAATCATTATATACATTGAATTTGAATTATTTCTAACCTACTTCAATTAGTCTGAATGCTGTTGACATTTGTAAACTTCAT